TATAATGGAGTATCGATCCATATATACATAGCAAAATATAGCAGACATGTCAAAAACCACACATATAATATGGATATATGTCACCAAGCAACGGACTGTCAACAAACACTCATATTATATATAATATAAGGGGAATATACATTGTTAAAGGAGACAGCTTCATCAAAGTGAAATGGTCACAGACTAAGCGAGCAAACAGAAAGAGAGACCACCATACACACACATATATACATATATATATATGGATACATATCAGTATTCTATAGTGAACACCTTCTTAAACATACTTAGCTACTTAAATTATTAACATTGGCTAACTTTTTTATACTTTATTCTATTCCTTCTTTTGTGTATCTACTGGGTCTGACTATATTAGCACTATGAGTATTACAAAATTGTCCTGTCATTAACCATCATGTAATATTAGTTTTGTGGTTGTTCTTTGTTCGGCACTATTTAACTGACAATCTTGGTTGTGAACGCCGTTATCACCATCTTAAAAATTTTGTATTATGCATGATTACTCACACTACCACTACAAACACTGCATTAGAGCTGACCATAAAAAAACACAACCTGAAATCATATAAAGTATAATTATATTTTAATAGTTTACACACAATGATAAGTTTTGTTATTGGTAATATTTCGAGCAAAATTACTGCCCGTGTTCACACCACTGTTGGAATTCTTTTATTCAACCTGAAATGTTTATTTTATGATTGTTCAGCGTTGTTCAATCAAATTAACTGATCATGTTGGTGATACACATTATTAAATATCATTTTCATAACTTTTAGTATGACTATAGCTTTACTGTCACCACGCATAAACATATCATAGCTTCCACTACCCACTTATTATTATTATTGTAACTTTGGGTTCCTAGTGGAACATAGGGCTTCAACTGCACATCTCCACCTGCGTCTGTCTTCTGCTGTCTTCTAATTTTCCCCTGCATCCATGTTAGTCCATACTGTTTCATCCATCCTCTTCACACGATCTCCTCCTCCATGTCAACCTTGCACTGACGACCCACTCACCGCCTCCCTTTCAGGTCCCACTCGAGCAGTGACCTGATGCGCGCGCGATGTCACCCAGCGGGCTCCTCAGCGAGTGTCAAAACCATCTCCGATTTCTCCTGCATATTTGTTGAAATTGGGCGATTGGTTCTTGTTTTGTTTGTTTGTTCCCATAGTTTCTTGTTTTTGGTGATTCTTTCCGGCTCAGCCCGGCCATCTGATCTTCAGTATACAGCGAAGACAGCTATTGATAAACGTTTGCATCGCAACCTGTTGGAAATATTCTTTGTGACCCACCCGCCAAGTTTCTGATTCCTATGGAAGAACTGACTTTACGTTTGTATTGAAAATCCGAATTTTGTTGGTGATTCTGGCTGAGTGACGAAAATTTCCGGATTGATTTCAGGTTGATGTGAATGTGTTTTCATCACCTTCCCGATTCTCGCTCGATTTGACATCCTCATCCGTTCCGACTGCCTGTAGTTGAGACAATGATCCTTAGACAAGTGAGTGAATGAAGTCACCTCTTTCAAATCCCTCCCGTTGATGGTGATTAACGCTGGATGTTGCTGTTGTTGTTGGTTGGTTATTTTCATAACCTCCGTCTTGTCTATGTTCACCTGGAGTCCTGTCCTGTCTTCGCCGGCTGCTTCTTCGACCAGTTTGTTGGTTTTCGCTTGTAAGTCTCCGATTTTGTGTGACATCAAACATAAATCATCCAAAAGCGAAATCCAGGTCTTCTAGGTTCTTCGCGTCGGTCAAGGATATTCCTGTCTTCTCGTTTCCCACAGTCTGACGCATAATCCAGGAATATCATCGTTGGTGATAATAAGCACCCTTGTCAGACTCCTGCGTTTATTCCAAACGCCTCGCTGAGTTTTCCGTTGTGGATCACTTGACGTTGTGCCGTTGTCGTACAGCTGTTGAATAAGGTTGATGAATATTTGGGGTACGCCGTAGTACTCGAGTAGTTTCCAAATTACTTCGCAGTCAACGCTGTCTGTCAAACGCCTACTCGAAGTCTACATACCAAAACCATCTTCTAGTACTGATATTAAATTCTGGCCGATTGCAATTACTTCTCCCTTTTTAAAATTGATGGAAAAATTACTTTTACCTCGTCTTGAACCCTCGTTGAAACCTTTTAATGATCCTAAACAATTTGCATACAAACATGGTAGAAGTACCTTGGATGCTGCGGTCGTCTTATATCACAATGTTGTCTCTTGTTTAGACAAAGGTGCTAAATATGTTCGTAGTGCTTTCTTAGACTATACATCTGCTTTTGACTCTGTACCTAGAGGCCTTTTATTCAATAAGCTATCGCTGACGCAAACAGGATCCTGGGCTAAGAGTTGGTTGCATTCTTATTTTTCTGACAGAATGCAGTATACTGTATATAATGGCAAATCTTCTACCTCGCTTACAAAATCCGGTGTTCCTCAAGGTGCCGTCCTCTCTCCTTTTCTTTTTTCTTTCTTCCTACATGACCTGCCTCATTCAAACGAAACTAACTTTGTCAAATATGCAGATGATCTGACTGCATCACTGTCTATCACTTCCGAGTCTGACAGCTCCAAACTTAATAGCTTTCTGTTGGACATCAACAAGTGGTCCAAGTCAAATGGTCTTATGTTAAATCCTTCCAAATGTCAGGCGCTTGACTTTACTTTCAAGCATCGACGTGACTTACTTGAACTAGTTAACTCTCATGATCCCTGTAGCAAAGATGGCACGGAAATTGAAACCAAATCAAGCATTAAATACCTTGGATTAGTTCTTTCCTCTGACCTTTCATGGTCATCCCATATCTTATCTATCTCTAAGAAAATGTTTCGTCTTACCTTCTACATTAAAAAGTTAAGACAATCAGGTATCAACCAACCTTTAGTTTTGCAATTTTTAAACTCCTGTATTTTACCTATTGTACTCTATTGCTCTCCATTAATCTTTCCTGGGCTTCTCAAAAAAGATTATATCATATTACGGAGAGTATTAAATGCTGTGAGTAGGGCTTGTGGTCTGCCACTGAATCAGCTTGCTAATACTACAGTCGAGAGGCATATAAATTCCTGTACAAAATGGGCAAAGGCTATACTGTCAGACCCTCTGCACCCCCTTTATTCACACCTATCCCCTTGTATCTCATCAGGTAGGACGAGAAGTCAATATAAAGAAGTTATATGCTCGTACCACTAAGTACAGAAATTCTACAATACCCTATTTAGCCCATACTTTATGTGACGAAGACTGTTAGACGTGAAACACATAAGTTACTATGTAAAAAGCACACTGAATCGACCCTTTCACTGTTCATCTTTCTGTATTTTATGGTGTCGCCCTTTCTGTCGTTTAATTATTATTACTCTGCTATTTTATATTAGTTGGTATTACTATTATTACTACAATTTTATACTTTATGCATATTTTTCACCGTATTGCATACAGTATTTTGCTATGTAGCTGCTGTAACAATCGTTTTATTATTATTATTATGTAATGTGTATTTGTAATTTTTTTTGTCGTTTTACAGTAAATTAGATGCAATATTGTAGTGAATGCTGGAAACTCCTTGCTGTATCACTAGTACTGTTTTTGGAACAAAGCAATTATTATTATTATAAAGTTAAGGTGGAGGTTTGATTGCCATTTCATACTTTGTTCTGTGATGATGATGATGATGCGTAGAGTTGCAATTTGGTCAGTACACGATTTGCCTAAGTTTCCTGAATCCAGCTTGTTCTGGTCGGAGTTCTGTATCCAGTGCTTCCTTAATTCTCTCCAGGACCACTACCCAATAGTGAGATATTTTATTTATTATATTGTTTATTTTCCTTTCTACTTCTTGGTATTTTTTTTCGCATTTTTTAAAATTATTTTGTGTGCTTTTTCTTTGTTTTTCTTTGTTGTTGCTTTTTATATTTATTAGTTGAAATACATTCTTTTAATTGTTTAATAAAATTAGATACCATATTGTAGATAAATTGCTGAAAATTCCACATTGTACCATTAGTACTGTTTCTGGAATAAAGCAAAAATTATTATTATTATTATTGAAATTTTATTAATTTGACCCTTGACCAGAAATTATTCTGAAACTTTCCTGTGCTTCGGTGGAACAGTGGTTAGGACTCTCGCCGACCATGCACATGGTCCGGGGTTCGAGCCCATGCCGACGCACATCTGATATCTATGGTCGGCCTGCAAAATTTGGGCTACCGATATCCATACTGAAAATTCCATACTTGTACCGAAAATACAGTGTGGAATCAAGCTGTAAATCAAAAATAAATAAATAAATAAAAAATATAACCCTGAAATGACTTGTCAATTTTCCTAGCTCACACTCTACAAATCTATTATGACGATTAACCACTACCATTGTCTCCCGTTTTACAATATTTTCTAATCGATTTCAGTCAACTAGCACGTTTGTCACACAAATGCGACTATTTATTTTGACACCCCATAACTACTAATCTGTTATTCTACGTTAAGTAAAAATGTATCCGCTGCCGCATAACTGGCCTTTATTGTAACGACCATAAATATTATATTTTATAATTGTAAGAACTTGAATAGGAGAAATTGTTGTAAAGTATAATCTTCGTTCAGATTGACTTTTAATTCATTAAGATTCCATTAAAATTCCATACTTGTACCAAAAATACGGTGTGGAATCAAGCTATAATAAAATAAATTAATTAATTAAAAAATTACCCATCCATCTATTGTTATTATAAATACACGAATGTAGTACATCAGCCGTCTAATTGACTTTGATTTCGTCGATAAACGAAAAGCTTTTCTACCTCGCTGCAAGCGTCTTTTTATTATTATTATTCCTTATGATCAAGTGTGATTATCATCAATATTATCGATTGGCCTGCATCAAGGTTGTTAAAAAATTCATTAACAACCAATATTTTTAAAATTATTCTCTGAAATTTAGCGCAATATCTGTAGAGTAAGACAAAGATGCTGAAGAAAGAGTTGAATAGTGCTCCAAACAGTTTAAGTGAATCCTACTATGAAAACAGAACAGCTCGAGAAATTCTCATGGGCATCGATAACAACTTTTCACGTGCTGTTGGCCTTCTCAACAAATATATGCCACACAATGATGATGATGATGATGATAATAATGTGGACGAATTTTCTGATTCTAATCATAATAAAGCCGCTGGTACAGAGAAAGATACAAAATCTTCACCGGGTCAAGGAAGAAGTGGTAATGCTGAGCACTTGGAGGAAAAACGATCGCATTTCTCTCGAACACTTAAATCAGAAGATCCAAGTAGTCAAGTTACCTTACCGAGTTTTACTGTTCAAAAATACGATGATGCGACTGGATCAATAAAATATCCATTGAAAATCGGCTCACAAATGGATGATTCAAAAGAAACACCTCAATCAATACCACTGACGGATATATCGGTGAATGTAAACGGTGTACAGGCTTCTTATGATGATGACGAGGCCTACTACTTATATGATGATGATGATGATGAACGACGTAAAATCAAATCCACTGGACCTTATTCAAAAGTCTACGGATATTCTGTTGCAGATCAATCTGCGTCTAGAGATTTAGATAATGCTACGCCAAAAACACTTGAATTGTGCAAGCGTTATCCGTGTCATTATTGCTTTTATGTCTACTTTCCATCAACAACCGTGAGTTATGCCTATCTCCTTTTTTTGTTCGAATAGTGTATTAGATATAATAGTGTGAAATATTCCCATATTGCATGAATTTAAAGTCAATCTGAACAAAGAATATTCTTTTCAATAATTTCTCTTCTGATGGGAAAGATGATGTGAGTGAAGGGGAATGATGCTCAGGAAGGCTTCGTGTGCTTTTGGAGGTGTGTGTGGGCAATTTTTACTTCCCAGCTGCCCACACCACTGTAGAAGTTGATTAATTCCTCGGGTACCTGAAACAGAGAGAGTGTTGCGTGACCGCAGAGCCCAGGGGACAACTGCTTGAGCCAGACCGGTCACACGCAGCTTGTTTTTGTTTGTTCTTTTTTGTTTGGTGTGTCTCAGTAGCATATTTATCACTTCTGCCTTGTGATATGGCAGCAGGAAGCGCGGTTGTTGTTAATACGGGCCCCGACCGATCCGGTATGATATTTTGTGATTTTTTTTAGTCATAGCATTGGATTGGGTAGCTGCTTTTTGTCTAACAGCCATCTAAACAACCTTTCCGGCATGGTGGGACCTCAAGCGACATAAGTATCAGCCAGTATAGCTTGTTGGGTCGTTGCGGTGTTCATGCCCGACCACCACGTCAAGGTAGCAGCTTTCGGTCGGGAGTTTCTCTTCAGGTTCTTACAATTATAAAATATAATATTTGTTGTTATTACAATAAAGGCCAGTTATGCAGCGGATACATTTTTACTTAACGTAGAATAACAGATCAGCAGTTATGGGGTGTCAGAATAAATAGTAGTCGTATTTGAGTATGATAGACATCGTGCTAGTAGGCTGAAATCGATTACAAAATATTTCTGTGAAATGGGATACAATGGTGGTGGTGGTGGTGATTAGTCGTCATAATAGATTTGTGGAGTGTGGGGTAGGAAAACTGAAAAGTCAGTTCAAGGTTATGAAAGAACGGATATCCAGAGAACTTCATTGAAGCCAACATAGGTTACAATAGTCGTAAGCATGAATTGACAACGGTGGAGAAAAAGCCTCTGTTTTTACAACTCCAGTTCAAGGGAAATACTCTTGTGAAGATTCTATCGCAACGTTTAACCAGGGCGATCAAGTAAACTTTCTACTCTGTACGTCTGTGTCTATCCGTCACTAGCCTTCCAATGTTCACCCAGCAACTCAAAGGTGTCTTACCTAACCTTAGCTCTTCTTCATGCATATACCATTTCAACTGTTCCTGTGGTTTAAGTTATATAGGGTGCACGACTAGGCAGGTTCGTCTGTAGGTTCAAGAACACTTACCAGCTTGGTTCAGCATGATGACTAATGAGGAAGGGATAATTATGTGCATAAAAAGGTCGATCCTGTCACATTTGGTCGACGCTGGATATCGTATCGATGTCAACATAGCTTTCAGTGTTATATACCGAATTCCGAAGTCGTTATCACGTACAGTTTGCTTACATCTCCTGTTGCAATGAGATCGACTAAACCGGAACTTTGTATCCAAAAATGAGAACACGTCCAGACGCTGTTCCTAACGTGGCCAAACTTGGATTGATGATTCTTCTTCTGCTCACCAAGAGTGCTTCTTCCCCTTAACGCCCTTGGTTTTTTTTACTTTGCTTATTATTACAAATATTATTATTACAGTTATTATTATTATTCGTCATAATTTATGCCCTTCATGCAAACATTCCCTCAATACTATCAAATTTTTCATTTATACTATCTAGACTTATTATTGGTGATATTATCTCTTTTCTCAATATATGCAGCCTCCACCTGTTTCATTTCACACATTCGTTAATTCATTATGAACCACCTCTCATTGCAGTCTTCCTATCTCCTGTTTTATACAGACCACTTTGTACTAGCCACTCACCTGTGCGTCGGTGGAACAGTGGTTAGGACTCTCGCCGACCATGATTCACATGGTCCGGGGTTCGAACCATCGCCGACGCACATCTGATATCTATGGTCGGCCTGCAAAATTTGGGCTACCGATATCCATACTGAAAATTCCATACTTGTACCGAAAATACAGTGTGGAATCAAGCTGTAAATCAAAAATAAATAAATAAATAAAAAATATAACCCTGAAATGACTTGTCAATTTTCGATATAAGAATAAAACTTGTGCACTGTGGTAGAGTGTAATTCCATTATGGGTAAATTTTGTTTTGATAAAGTCTCACAGCGTTATACAGTAATGTTTACTGATGACGTTTCGAGCACAATTTATTGCTCATAATCATATCAAGGTAATCACACGACTTCCTAAATTCATTTATATAGTTCCATTGTTTTTCTCTTGATTTTCACTTGATTTGATTGGTAATAGTATTTTCCATATTTCAGGTATGAGTGACGAGTCATTCCTATTGCATGTGTTGGGTGTAGACTCGATGAACAAGGATTCAGTAATCAACCTCTCTCTCCACCTACCTAGATTACTTTTTAGAATTTTAACCCTCTCCCACCCTATTGTGTGGTTATGTGAGGTCAACTACATAGGTCAAACTCGTAGGTCAGGGGTAGTCAGATTGTCAGAGCATAAAAATTTAGCTAAGGTAAGAATGGTTGACCCCGAGAAGATAAGTAATTTAGAAAAAAGCTCAGCAATTGCAATGCATGCGCTAACACACAACCACACAATAGGGTGGGAGAGGGTTAAAATTCTAAAAAGTAATCTAGGTAGGTGGAGAGAGAGGTTGATTACTGAATCCTTGTTCATCGAGTCTACACCCAACACATGCAATAGGAATGACTCGTCACTCATACCTGAAATATGGAAAATACTATTACCAGTCAAATCAAGTGAAAATCAAGAGAAAAACAATGGAACTATTTAAATGAATTTAGGAAGTCGTGTGATTACCTTGATATGATTATGAGCAATAAATTGTGCTCGAAACGTCATCAGTAAACATTACTGTATAACGCTGTGAGACTTCATCAAAACAAAATTTACCCATAATGGAATTGTCAATTTTCCTAGCTCACACTCTACAAATCTATTATGACGATTAACCACTACCATTGTCTCCCGTTTTACAATATTTTCTAATCGATTTCAGTCAACTAGCACGTTTGTCACACAAATGCGACTATTTATTTTGACACCCCATAACTACTAATCTGTTATTCTACGTTAAGTAAAAATGTATCCGCTGCCGCATAACTGGCCTTTATTGTAACGACCATAAATATTATATTTTATAATTGTAAGAACTTGAATAGGAGAAATTGTTGTAAAGTATAATCTTCGTTCAGATTGACTTTTAATTCATTAAGATATAAACATAATCATTTCTGAATTAATAATGGCCATTCAATGCAGACTTACGATTTCCGTCTATCAAATAAGGCTCATTTGGCTAATTTATGCCATCAAGAACTATAAACAACTTGAAAGTTGTTCCTATTGATGCGATATGATCGTCTATTTAACTGTCAATGCCAAAACTAACCATTTTTGTCTTCATTATCTAATTTTAAATTATCTAATCCATCTATGTTTTAGTTCATAAGAATTTGTGGCTTTTAAGAGGGGATTTAATACCATGACTAAATGTATAAAATCAACTATAAGTCTAATAGGGTATTTATTGAAGATGACTCACTTGGAGACAGTGTATAAATAGAAGATCACACTACAAGGAAGCTGCTGAACTCTTGTCCCCTGAAAATTACATTGACTACTGTGTGTACCACTCCGCATGGATAAACAAATTCAAAGTTGACGATGAAACGGTTGAAGTTCAGTTGAGTTGACGTACTTGCTTTTAATCTAGCAATCTGTTATTGTTTGATCTTTTTTTACTGAATCCCATCTTGCTTATATAATGCATTCACCTCAACATCAGGGAACCTATTGCTTTATTCTTCTCAACCGGCTGGGGAATGTTGCTTTTTCTTGTGAAGCTTAACTGGAGCAACTGAAACTCTCTTATTTTCAACTATCTGGTGTGGAAACGAATATTTATAGCCGGCAGCCACAAATCCCGTATTAGTTTGATTATTAGATGTATACAGAAGACAAGTAGTTCAGCGAAGAGTCTCTTTTCGGCGAATTCATTTTCATAGCTGTACAATCGCAAATATATATGGTTATTTTGTGTGTGTGTGTGTGTGTGTATACATTAAATTTGTCAAACGAAAATACAATTAGTAAGTTCAGATGAATTGGATGTTGATAAGAGGATAGCAACAAAAGTGATGAGTTGTCATAAATGATTGTTAAATAAGAGTTACGTAATGGCATGAATAGTTTGATGAATGAGTTGTGCTCAAAGGGTGTACATGGAAACAAAATAATATACAGAATTACACAAAGGGTTTTAAGTTAGAAAAAATAAGCATACAAACAGAAGTAAGGTCAAATCAAACAAACAAACAAAAGTTAGGTCAAATCAACAGAGCTGTTACCATGTCTACTAATGTTCGAATGAGAATTATTCATGTATTAGATGTATCACACACAGTCAGTGAGTGAGTGAGTGAAACAGTATTAGTATTTACTGGATGACACAGATTCGAACACACACAATTCACTTATTGCTGTTCATAATCATATACATCACTAATTATAATCACACGACTTCAAAACTTGAGTTTTACAGTCTTATTTGTTCTCTCCTGTTTGATGTGGTCGTGCGGATAGTAGAATTTTCCAGATGTTCAGCTGGACAAATGGTGAATCATTCTTTTTACACGTGTTTATTTGCAGTTGATTCGATAAACAAAGCTTCTGTTATCAATCTCTCCCTCCGTACACCCTGTGACATTAAATTTTAAAACTGTCATCTTATCCCATCCAGCCTATAGTATGGTTGTGTGGTGTGTGACTGCATGTACTGCTCGCGATAGCTGATGAACTATACTCTAGATTTCTTATCTTATTCGAGTCAACTAATCTAGATATTGCTGTCAGGATTTCATGTTCGGCTAGTCTGACTCAATGCCCCCTGTTCTACTAGTTTGACCTATGTATTTGACCCGACAATCATTGT